TAAGTGTACTTTGCTTGTAAGGTATGGCAGTTATCTTAGTCTGAACATCTGGTCTCACCCTGGGGATGCAGCTAAGCACCTCCAGCATCTGTTAATCTTATAACATTTTAAACTGGGGCTACGTGCCTTCAAAGTTTGTAGTTCATGATGAAACCTTTGGTATTGCTGTCCTAAGAAACAAGCAAAGCAGAGCAAATTACACAAGTGAAAGACAGGAGTTATTCTATATTTCCTTAACATTTTGTAAGTTTCTATTTACGGAAGTTCTCTTTATCAGTTCAAGTATTTGGAAGTGATCCTGCAAGACACAGCTGAAGCTGAGGGCATGATGACCTTGGCTTGGCTGCTGGGAGGATCATAGATTCCCCTTAACCCTGGTTAGTGCAGTGGTCTGAACTAGTCCTCTGCTTCCCAGCTCATTCAGTTTCCTCATCCGAAAAATAAAGCTCTGTCTAGAAGCCCCTTGTTATTTCCTTTCTTTTCTACATTTTGCAGTCTGATTATTAATTTTAATACCATCTCTTAGTCGAAAAATACATGAAATAATTTTCAGTTCATCTGGACACTAATGAAAACTTAGTAAACAAGCCAGGAGAGAATTTCCATTTATGGATGCCCAGTCAACACCTGCTTAACAGAAATCCCCTTCTGACCTTTTTCAATAAATAAACCCTTATTTTTGGTAGTGCTGCCTTGGGAATGGCATCTCTATAGAGACCACTGTTTGGGTGAACATTTCCCTTGTGAGTGAGCATTCTGCACATTTATATGATAATTAATTGATAGAACAGGTAGATCTTTCCAGATCTCCAAGTCTTTTTGTCAGCTTGCATGTCAAATTCTAAAGTAGTACAACACCTGAATAGGTGTGCAAGCCAAGAGGTATGGGGTTGTCATGACAACTGGGAAATGCCATGTCTCCTCACAAATGTTAATTCTATCTTTGCGGGATTTTAGAAACCAGTAGTTATTAAATTTTTTTACTTTGGTAGAAATGAAGTCACATTTTGGATTTTCCATAAGAATTTAAAACCTTTAAAACTGCACCACCATTTGTGGTGGTTGTTGCTCTTGTTATGTTTCTTCCTCTTCTAACACTCCAACCTGAGTGCTTCAGAGTTGGGTGTTCTACTGGAAATCATATCACTTGTGGAGGTGTCAGGGCAACCCTTTGAGTATGGGTCTGGAATAGTGAAGATCAACTATAGATGTATATTGTCATTTCTTTCTCTCCCTGTAGCCCAGGCATGATGATTATGAAAGCCCCTGTGTACCACCTATTTTATGGAAAAGGGTGGTGCAATAAACTCTGAATGTTTTCTGTTGGCTCATCAGCAACAACCAGTCCTACCAAGTGGAATTTGCCTGAATTCCAATTGAAATATGACTGAACCAAGAAGCAAAATGATTCTATGTTCTGGTTTGGAAATCCCAGCAAAATTTGTAACAGGCAAAATGATAGGAACTATGCCTTGTTGTTTCTTGTTGTGAAAAAGGTGATGTGTTGAAATTACTTCCAATCTGAACCAGCCACTTTGAAATGTTAGGTTAATAGGGAAGTTTTGCATCAGCGTTGTTCAGAACTTCCTGATGCAAAACTGTGTTCTAGGTAGCTTTTGTCCCTTTCAAAGGGGCCAGTTTTATTTCTCACCCTGAAGTGCTCCCTGTGTTCTGAGAAGTGGAGCATGCTCTGCTCTGAAGCATATGCTGTCCCTACTCTTCAGGAAGGATGGAGAAAAGAGCCCAAATGGACACACACATTTTTTAAAAACATCTTGGAAGCAGTGTGGTGCCTCTAAATTCACTGGATGCTTGCTCACTTTCTATTTCCTGTGTAGATTCATTCTCAGACTGGAAGCAACTCACACATTCAGATTAATTCCTGAGTCATGCTTGCCTTCTTCTCTTGAAAACAAATCACAAAATCTGCACACTGAAAGCTGGAGTTTAATTATGTTTTTCCATCTAAGTGCTCCAGGATAAAATGTTCTATGAAGATTAACTGTGATGAAACCACTTCTGATTTATTAGGTAGGCTGCACATCCCAAATCATGCAGAGAAAAGAAACAATAATAAAACAGCAAAATTGCGATCATTCATTAATATCCATTAGATTCTAGGTATTTTGCATATATTAACCTCATTTAATCTGTACAGCAATTCTATGATTTTGATTTGATTTTCAGAGGAGGGACTTGCTTCACAGATTAACTTGTTTAGGTCGCGCAAGCAGTCTTTAGAGCTGGTGTTGAGGTATAAATGTGCGTTAGACTGACTCCTAAGGTAGACAGTGCTGCACTAAACAATGCTGTGTCACTAGCCAATAAATCATATGGCATGGCATGTTTTTGCTTACACCTGTGAGTTTAATAAGTATTTTTAATGTTTGCATTTTCCAAAACGGTGGCTTTATTACAGATAAGGTGACTATAAACTTTCATAGTAATGGGGAGGCAAACTCTGGATGAAAAAACACTGAATGGTAATCAATAGGAACAATATGTGGAAAGGTGAAAAGATATTTCTTATTAACACAAGGTGATTATGGCTTGGGATATATAAGCTCATCTTTCAGTATTTATTGAAATGCCAACACAAGCAGAGTCCTATATTATAGTCCTTAGCAAAACTCAGTATAAATTACTGGCTAACCACTAGTAGTGGAAGTTTCAGTTTTTATGAAGTACAGCTATAAATTCAGTGATTTTGGAATCTGTCATGGGAATCTGTCACTTACTAGTATGAAAGAAGACATTTTGAGAAAATAGTAGGCATGAAATTTTAGTTAGACCATCTTCCTCCAGTTTTTCTGACAAATAGGATGAAGAGAAGTGTTGTAAAGCAACTGCACTGCATAAGAAAAGGGGTGCTAGTTACACAGATTTTGTTGCAAGTGTGCCCCCAGATTTGCACAACGGGGAAGAACCTTATGAACCGGGAGGAACCCTAAGAATCTCCTCTACTTAAACATGTGCTATTTCTGGTTTCTTTGCTTCACTGAGCAACCGGATGGATGGTGATAGTTAGTGAAATGATAGTTAGGGAAGAAATGCAGTTGTTAGGGAGAAACCCAAGAGTTCTTCTGTGCAAGGCCAACTTTGAGAAGTTGAACCTGCTTTTGAATACACTAGACTGGGCCTGAAGGGAAAGGTGAAGCTTTAGAGAGAATGTGGGGAGTTGTCAGTGCACTGAACAGAATGAAGTGCTTCAAAGAAGAAGGATGAAGAGAGAAGAGGTCCCAGGACTAGACCTATGTCCTCTATCATTTAGAGGTCAGGAGAAAGCAGCAAAGGAGGTTGAAAAGGGGAAGAGCGAGGTGCAAGTTTAATGTCCTGGGGTGGAAGACAAGTGAGAAGGTGCTTCAAGGACAGAGAAATGCTGAGACAGGCCCTGCTGAAAGAAGTCCCATGGATTCTCCTGTGCATTTTGTAAATATGCTTCCTTCTCCTTATGCCCACGACCACCGCCCTAGTTTAGAAATACAGCAGACTTTCAGGTTTCCCTGGCCTCCTGCTCCAGCTTCTCACAATCTCTGCTTAAATATTATCCCTAGGGTGAGTTGTTTCTCTAAATACACTGTTCTGTCACACTGCAGCTTAAAAGTAGGCAACAGCTATTGTTCATAGACGGTGATCCTAACTCCTTAATATTTCTTTTGAGACTTTTTATCACACAGAACTCCCTCCCCACCCACTCTATCTCCCACACAGCCTGTGCTATACCTCAATGAATCACTTCTAATATACTGTACTTCCTTTGGGCTACTGACTGAAATACTTTTCCCTCACCTAGACCTTTGAACACTTCTCCATATACAAGTCTCAGTTCTAGAATTAACTCCTCTGTAAAAGTCTTCCCCTAAACAGATTAAGAATTGCCCATTCTACCATCTTACAACTTCCCATATGTACCTCAATTATAACACCTATTTGTATTGCAACTGCTCTTTATTAGTATGATGGCACCTTTAAACCATGAATTCTTCAAGAGTGGGGATCATGCCATTTATTTTGAATGTTCCCAGTGTCATGTATAGCACTGAATTCTTAGGAGAAGCTCCATACACATATATTGAAAAAATGAGACCCCCCAAAGATTTCATGAGCCTGCATTTCTCTATTTACTATACTTTAACAATTCTCACTCTGACTCTGTATTCCCTCCTCAGCCCCTGTCCCTCTTCCCGTTAGGCCCCTCCTAAAACTCACAGTTAGCTACTCACCTGGCTGCTACCTGCATTTTGGGGGCCAACATATTGGATACCCAAATACTACTAGATTGTCAGCTACTGGTGGTTGTTCTGTTTGTGATTCACCAGAGGCCATTTCCCTCAGGGGCTCAAAATCATGACTCATGTGGGTAGTTCTTTACGTTAGGAAAAAATTCTGCTCATCCTTGTTTCTAATGAGAAGCCCGGCACTGACTCACTTTAATTAAACTAATTTAGGACTTGTCAAAGTTCTCCAAGATACAGATAGTACCTTGGAATATAAGAAAAGCTACTCTGTGAAGACTCCACAATTTTATTAATGCAATTTTTAAAGAAAATGCCTCATATAACCCAGCAATAACCCATCTATGATAAGATATGAGGAGGGAAGCGGAGCATATCTTATTTTAGAGTTGAAATAGTTTGATATAATGATTTATACTACAAAGTCAAATTCTGGTGTTTAAGTAAAATATACTTTAATATTTTCTTGGCACTAGGTTATGTAATAGTAGGAATGCCATAATATCTGTCTTGTTTTCTTTTGTCTTTGAATCTCAAAAAAGACTATTTCAAGAAATCTACTACTGAAAGACTCAAAGGATAAAAATCCAAGGTTCTGGGCGTTACTAAAACAGAAATTTTGACCTTTTGGAGGTCAGCTATTTTAGCCTTCCCTTTGTATTTTTCCAGGAGTAACTGAAACATTCCAGAAGAATGAGAATCTGTCCTATTTTTAGAAGTCTGGAAAATAAGTCTCCATCAACAATCATTTGGTTGTGTGGTGACTCTACAAGTTCTTTCTTATGTCTTCTCTAAGACCCGCAGGCTTCTACTTCAATTCTTGCTTTCTTCCAAACCTGGACAACACCATCCATGTGATTACATCTTTATGTTGTGATGCTCTTGGATTTACCAAACAGAATTCTTGATTCCAATGGACTTACTCAGGAAACTTATCCTCTCTCCTCACAGAAGTCTGAGGTAAGAGGGGCTCTGAAGTTGTTTGGCTTGGTGACTCAGCACCTTTCGAAATGTCTTGCATTTTACCTTAAACTATCCGCACAACTTGCTTCAGTCCAAGTATGGGACAAGATCTAGTGTATATCCACACAGGACAAAATCCAGAGGGAGAAGAGGGGTCAGTTTTGCCTGTGTCTCCAACTTAGAAGGAAATAAACCTTTTCTAGAATTCCTCAGCAGACTTCTTTTCATGTTTTCAATCAGAATTGGCCATTCTTGAACCAAATATTGACAAGGGGAATGAAATGACCATGACTGACTAATCATAGGCGGGATGAACTGCAAAGGCCATTACACATATCTATCATTCCTTCTAGTATTTTCCTTGGATCTCAGGCTCTCTCTTATACCCTAAGTTATGTCCTCCACTAATAGTAAAAGAACCATGAAGGACAGAAAGACAAAAAGACAAACAGATCAGAAAGTGGGAATGATTTAAGATTGTAATAAGGATACAATTTGTAAGTTAGAGAATAGAATTTATTAAAAGTACACTTTCCCACACTTACTAAATAGTTAAATCATGTGATTTCAGAGTTCCCATTTAACCATCAAACATGATCTGACCAATAAGAACATTGGCAATGAAATCGGAAAAGCTTGTGTATCTTTAGTTCAATTATTTTAATTGTATGGAACCTCAGTTTCTTTGTCTGAAAAACAGAAATAATCACAAGCATTTTGTGGGGTGTTGTGAGTACACAAACATTATACAACCAATACATCACACCTGACACTTTGCATGTAAGTAAATAATAAAATACAATTGCCTTAATAATAAAGTGAAGGAATTGATGATGTTGGGAAAGCCATCAAGAAAGAAAGAATGTTTCTCAGTAGTTCAAGTAGTCAGTCATTAAGCTATCATTTTCTTCTTATGGATACTTAACATGGTAGTAGATATTCTGAAGAATATTTGAAGAAAAGACTGTAATGCTTGTTAAAATAAAGATTATGCTCTACACTTCTTCACCTTCTTTACCTCTTTCTATTCCTTGGTGGCTACCTTTTCCTCTCCCGATAGGAAGCATATCACCTGACAAAGGTAAGTAGCTGATAAGTACTTGTGGATTGGCTTAGTGATTAAAATGACACAGCAAGACACCGGGCAATAGTCGGGTCCTTTTGCAGCAGTGCTCTGTTGAAGGTGATGAAGGATGTGTACAAGCCAGTGTAAAACCGGTGAAGTGGTGGCACTTTGTCTTTGCTATGAGCTGGCTGTAAAATCAGCGGAAGTTAAACCCAAGAAAGTCTGAAAGAATCTAGATGATATATATTCCCTCATTTGGGATGTGTAGAGTGATTCATTTTCATTGACATTTTCATTCTACAAAATCGGTCATTTTTTCACTACTTCAAGCTTCATAGCCCTACTCCTAGGATTAAATGTGATTCACTAAATACATTTAAGGACTTCTAGTCAGGGGTTAAAATATCTAGAACGGAAACTGACACACAGTAAGTGCTCAATAATTTCTCCATCCTCATAGTTTTAGGTGGCAAATGTTTCAGTTATTTCCAAAAATAACCTCTTTTTACCACTTCTGTACCTCTTGCCTCAGCATTTCCATAGGATGGGCCTTTGGTTATGGATAATGATAGTTCCTTCTATTGATACAGTGCTTTATGGTATGTAAAGCAATTTCAAGTAAGTACATAATTGCATTTGACCAGCACATGAATCCAGTCAGGTGGGTATTATTAATCTCTATTTTTCAGGTAGAAAAATTGAGCCTCAAAGATCTTAAGTTATTTGCTCTTAAATGACTTAAACTTGAATTTTTTGATTTATGAAAGAAGGAACAAAAAGGCAGAAGGAAAGTTTTGATTAATTTTTTTAAAAATGATATTATCCTGACAGGCCTACTGTGTTAGACGTTCCTATTTACCTCCCAAATAGGTAAATTTGCCACAAGATGAAAAGACTAACTTCTTTAGCCCTTCACTTCTATAAGTCTTTAAAAAACTCTTGGAGCACCCCCTCCATGTGTTCATAGAGTTATGTTTGTGAAATCTGTTAGCAAAAAGAACTATCTTCATAACTCCAAATTGTACAAACTTCAGCTTATAAAACTTGGCTTTGTTAACTGCTCTCAAATAACAAAGATGGTTTTAGGTAGGCATGCTGGTATCCAATTGAGAGACTACAGTTTTGGCCAATGACAGTGTTTGTATTTCAGGAATTCTAAATACAAGGGAGGTGGGCATACCTTTCTTTTCTCTCTCTCTCTCTTTCATTCTTTTTCCATCCAGGTATTTGGAACATGGATATAATGGTTGGAGCTTTTCCTGTCCTCTTAGGCCATGATAATGAAAGGCTCATATGAGGAATGGTGTAGGGAAGAACTGTAGAAGGTTGTGTTCTCAATGACTACAATTTTTGTCTTGGATTTCCAATTGATTACTTTTAAGTAGGAGAAATAAAGCTTCTACTATAGACTTATATCTTCACCTTTGGGATAATGAAAATCCGTAAATGTTTTGAAAGTGGGATGAGGTAAAATCAGATAGTTTTTAAAAAATTATATTCTAGTAGTATTCCATAGTGGTATTCTAGTGGTATTTTATAGCATAGAGGTACCATGTAGTGTGCTTAACCTCTTACTAACTAAAGGATATTTTGATTGTTGCCAGTTTGGGGTTTTTACAAATAAAGATATTATAACCAAACATGAACAGACTTTGTGAAGACACATACATTTTTATTCTCTGGGGGAAAATGACCAGAAGTGTGATTACTGGACCATGTGGTACATGTTTAGTTTTTTTCTTTTAATTCACTGTTTATTGGTACAGTTTAGGTATACATTATGATCACATTCATCATTGGGAATCTGTACCTGTACTAGATATATCTTGGTTGTTGTTTTTTCCCTATTCCCTTTCCCTCCCTTTTACCCCTCCACCCTTGCCTAAGGCCCAACAGGGAAGGGGAAGTAAGGAGGTGGGGGAATGAGGGGAAGGAACAAGACAAGGATGCTCACTATCACTACTCCTGTTCAACATAGTTTTGGAAACATTATCCATAGCAATTAGACAAGACAAAGAAATAAAATCAATAAAGTTAGGAAAGGAAGAAGTTAAACTGTCATTGTTTGTTGATGACATGATACTTTACATAGAAGACACAAAACACTCCACCAAAAGACTTCTAGACTTAATTGACAGGTTCAATACAGTAGCTGGATACAAAGTAAACACTCAAAAATCTATAGCATTCTTGTACACAAATAACAGACTCACTGAGAGTGAAATTAGCAAAATAATTCCTTTCACAATAGCACACCCCAAATTGAAATATCTAGTAATCAATCTAATAAAGGAAGCAAAAGACCTCTACATTGAGAACTATGACACTGAAAAAAAGAGATTGAAGAGAATATAAAAAAATGGAAAGACATCCCTGGTTCCTGGGTAGGAAGAATGAATATAGCAAAAATATCCATAATTCCAAAACTGCTTTACAGAGTCAATGCAATCCCTATTGAAACTTCCACATATTTCACAGAACTAGAGAAAACAATGCAAAAATTAATTTGGATTATAGCAAAAGCAAAAGTGTAAAGAAAATAAAATCAGGCAATGGGGTTGTAAAGGGAAATAAAATAGCAAATAAAAATAGCAAAAGCAATTCTAGGCAACAGAGACATGGCAGGGGGGTATCACAATCCCCTCAACTTGAAACTATACTACAAAGCCACTGTGATAAAGACAGCATGGTGCTGACAAAGAAACAGACCCAAAGATCAGTGGAATAGATTAGAAAATGTAGGAGCAACTCCTGACTACTCAGCTACCTCATCTTACAAAGGAGCCAATCACCCTCACTGGATGAAAGATAGTCTCTTGGTGATGGAAACACAGGCTTTCAACTTGCCAAAGATTAAAAGTAGACCCATATCTTTCACCATTCACTAAACTAAAATCCAAGTGGATCAAAGATCTAAATATCAAAACAGAAACATTAAACTTGCTGAAAGTTAGGTTAGGTAATACTCTTGATATTGGCATAGGAAAAGACTTTATGAACAAATCCTCAGTAGCATGGAAACTATCACAAAGAATGAACAACTGGGATCTCATCTTATTAAAAAGCTTCTGCACTTCAGGGGAAATCCAAAAGAGCTAAAAGACAACTTACAATGTGGGAAGCAATTTTACCAGCTGTTCCTCAGAAAAAGGTCTACTACTTAGAATACATAAAGAATGAAAAAAAAGACAGACCCCCGCCAAATTAAAGACCCAATTAAAAAATGGGCATCTGAAGTGAACAGGCATTTCTCGGACAAACAAGTAAAAGCAGCAAATAAACATATAAAAAAAAGTTCAACATTACTGGTCATTTGAGAGTTGCAAATCAAAACAACAGCCAGATACCACCTCACCCCAGAAAGAATTGCTGCTATCATGAAATCAACTAATAACAAATGCTGGCAGGGTTGTGGGATAAAATGAACCCTTCTTCATTATTGGTGGGAGTGCAGACTGGGGCAACCACTGTGGAAATCAATATAGAGATGCCTCAAACAACTAGGAGCAGAATCCCATTTGACCCAGCTATTCCATTGCTAGGTATCTTCCCAAAAGAATTAAAAGGATCATACCATAATGATATATACTCACCCATGTTCATAGCAGCACAGTTTGTAACAGCTTAAACCTGGAAGCAGCCCAGTTGCCCATCAACTGGAGACTGGATAAAAAAGATGTGGTTTTTTTTTTTTTTGTTTTGTTTTTAAATAAAATGGAATACTATTCAGCCATAAAGAACGAGAAACTAGAGCTATTTATAGCTAAGTGGATGCACATTCTGGCCACACACTTAAGTGAAATTAATAAGACACATGTGTAAATACTGAATAGTATCTCTGGTGTGAAAAACTAAAATTGTAAATAAGGATCAAAATGTATAATTGATATTGTGTAATAGGAAGTGGGAGTAGTGGAGAGGTAACAAGGGAAAAGAAAAAAATATGAGAAAAGTAAAAACATGGAAACAAAGTCTTTGTAAACAGGGAAAGATGGAGTGGGTGAAGGGAGGGCCAGGGAATGGGGAAAAAATAAGAACCAAGGTATGTCATGTAAAGGTACAAGATCCCCATGACTGTAACTATTTTATACCTAAAATGTACCAATAAACTTAATGGGGGGAAAAAAGGAAAGAAGGGAAAGAAAAAAATATGTTTAGTTTTTTAGGTCATTGAAAAATTATTTTCCAGAGTGACTGTACCATTTTATAACAACAGCAGTGCAAGAGAAATTCAGTTCTTCTGTATCCTTACCAGCATTTAGTATTTTATATTAGCCACTCTAACACAGGTGAAGTGATATCTCATTATGGTTTTAATTTGAATTTCCCTAATGGCTAATGATGCATGATATGTTTTTATGTGCTTATTTGCCATCTGTGTATCCTCTTTTTCTAAATGTTTCTTCACATCTTCCACCCATTTTTTAAATGAATTATGTTTTTTTATTTTAACTTTTGGAAAACTTTTTTATCCAATATGGAAGTCCTTTGTCTGATATTTAGTTTGCAATATTTTCTCTCATTTTGTAGATTGTCTTTTCTTCAAGGTCTTTAGCAGAGACAAAGTTTTTAACTTTGATGAAATCAAGCTCACTGATACTTTTCCTTCATGATGTCTTATCAAAGAACTCTTCACTGAACTGAAGTCCCAAAGATTTCCTCCTGTAATACATGTAAACCTAGGGTCCATTTTGAAATTTTTTTAATGTGATGGCCAGGTTTAGATTAATGCTTTGGCCTATGTACATCAAATTGTTTCAGTCCACTTTTTGAAAATGCTATCTTTCCTCCATTGAGTTGAATTTGCACTTTCTCAAAAATCAGTTTTTTAGTTGTCTATTCTACTCCATTAATCTATGTGCTCCTTCCTTTGCCAATTTCACACAGTCTTGATTTCTGTAACTATCTAACAAGACTTGAAATCAGGTTGCACTTTCAGATCGTTCTCTTTTTCTCTGTCTCTCTACTACTACTACTACTTGACAAGGCCTGGCTTAATTTTTACCATTGCTGAGACAAAAAACCAAGCAATCAAGGCTAAAGGAGAAAAGGTTTATTTAAGTTCATAGATTATAGAGGTTTCAGTCCATAATCAGCTGTCTCCAAAGCAGGGTGGCATGGCAGAGGGGCATTGTAGAAGAGAATCAGTTCATGACAGGCATAAGGTAGCAGCAGCATCCAAGCAACAAGCAACAAAGATAATAGATGACCCACTTTCTGTCCCTTATATCCAGGTTACCCTTGTCCAGGTTATCCACCCTTAGGGGCAGTAGTACACCCTTAAGCTTAGCATCACATCTTTGATTTCAACATTATATACTCCCTAGATCCAGCCACCTCCAAAAAGCCCCACCCTATCACTTCATGAGGCCTTGGGTGGACATTTAAATACAGGCCATAGTGGAGCCTTTGTTTTACCCACTTTTGCACCTCTGTGTGTCACTTACCAGTTCCTTCTGCAACATTTCTTGGTGCATTGGCCAGGAAGGAAAGGGTTAACTGACATGGCTCATGTCAGGCCTCAACCCAAGTCCCTCTGGAGGGAGAGGCTGTCTGTCTCCTCCTAAGCGGAGAGGTGCACCCCCAGCATTTCCTGGTTCCCTTTCTAGGACTCGGAGACCAGCTCCCTGGAAGTGGATTGCTCAAACCTGGAACAGAGACAGCAGGAGGAGGGCAGCTGCTTGAATGGGATCATCTGTCTAAGTGGTGAGACTCCCTGGGCAACCTCTAGTTTGTTTTGCTTTTGCTTTTGGCTCTTTTTAAAATTTTGGGCAAGATACAGAGTGGAGACCTTGATTCTTTACCATTTGAAAGGGTTTCTTTTGCCCCAACCTGGGCTGTGTGGATATATACCTTCAATTTGTTATCATACTTCATAAGGGGGCCCCAGAGAGGGAAGTGTTAACTTCTTATGTGATTGTGTGTGTAAAAGAGACTCGGTTAGGAGAGTAGGTGGAATGAGCTACAAAAACAACAGGTAGTCTCATCTGTCCACCAAGACAAAGGGAGGGGGCTTTTACATTTAAAAGATCCTTCCCCGAGTCATGGAGCTTGTATGTGGTCTGTTTCTGTGATTCTCTGGCCAGCATCTAATATGAGCAAAACAGGACACTAACATGACAGTGTGCCTTAGGTTGGATGGGCCTTAAAGTAGCTGAGAGACCTGTGGCCAGACAGGCAAACAGATGGTTGTTCCTTTGTGAGTGGCATCCACCCTTTGCTTGTCCTGCGTCACCAGACAAGGTAATATCAAGTGATTGTGGGAAATACAAATATTAAACCAACTATTCTTGAATGTATTATTCAAAACTTTGCGGGGAAAAAAAAATGAGAACCAAGACCTGTCATGTAAAGGTACAAGATCCCAATAATGAATGTAACTGTACTGTATACCTAAAATGTACCAATAAACTCAATCAAAAACAAACAAACAAACAAACAAACAAAAAACCCAATAAACTTTGATAAAGGCTTTTTGGGGACTATGGGATAAAATTAAGACCAAAGACGCTCAGGAAGCTTTGTGAGTTTTTGTAGCCTCAATTAAGCCAGCCTTGGCCGCCAGAAGGAACACTAGACAAAAGGAAAATTAGGCTGATTTGGAACAAGGTTACCACCCAGGGGCAAACTAATAAATACCCATATATAGACACCTGGTTAGAATTATCTACAAATATGCCTTCATGGCTCCAGATGTGTGCAATGAATGAGGTAGCCTAGCTGCTTGTTGTTAAGACCCAACCAGACCCTGAGAAAGATGTAGAAGACCTATTACATTGCCCCCCTCCTTATCAGGCAAGGGTTCCTGGTGCAAATACCCAAGGTGCTCCAGCTTCTGATAGTTCAGGCCAGCCTACATCCCCCCTTGATGGTACTACCATAGCTCACAGAATTAGGTAGGCAGAGCCAGGACCAAGCCTCCAAATGCCATCGCAAGAATACCCAGGAGAAGGAGGCATCATTTTTGTACACCAGCATTTTAGCTCTACTGACCTAATTAATTGGAAAAGAGAAAGTCCCCCTTTCACAGAGGATCCAACAAAAACACGTCAGTTGTTTGAATCAATATTTTGTACCCATCATCTCAATTGGGAAAACTGTAAAGAACTCTGTAGGGTGATGTTAACTACTGAAGAGATTCAGAGGATTATAGGAGAGATGAAAAAGATAAATGCCCCTCACATGCTGCCCAAAACACAAAACCCTGATGAATGGTATGAACAACAATTTCTTGTGAATGTCTGATCAACTTGGGATCTGAATACCCTGGCTGGGCAGCGCTATCTAGCAAACTATAGAGCCTCCCTTTCAGCATTAATGAAAGACACTAGCAAAAAGCCCACCAACGTGATTAAGGTGATGGAAACCCTACAAGGACCAAATGAAAGCCCTGAAAAGTTTTATGAGAGACTCTGTGAGGCATATAGAATGTATATGTCTTTTGATCCAACTGTGGCAGAGAATCAACAACTAGTGAACACTGCTTTTGTAACTCAATCTGCTGCCAATATCAGAAAGTACAAAAACAGGAAACTTGGGAAGGAATGAATATAATCCAGTTGCTGCAGCTGGCTAAGAAATTGTATGTGAGCAGAGATACAGTCAGAGAAAAGGAAAGACTTTGCAGGGAAGATGAAAGAGATAAGAGGAGGGCAAAGTACACAGCAGTAGCTATGGGAAATAAGGTGCCTGAAGGCAAACTGCAGGGAGAAAAGAAAGATCAAATGAATGTGGAAGAGAAGGAAAGAGTTAAGAGAATAGACTTTGAGCCTGATCAGTGTGAATGCTGTAAGGAAAAGGGACATTTTAAGAATAGATGCCCTAAGCTATCTGCCAAGAAAAAACAAGAGTCCCGGGAAGTTAAAGATTCAGAAACAGGAGTTTTGGTCTCCATTTTTGAAGAAGACAGTGACTGATGGGGCCCGGGCTTGATAACACCTGGCCCTCGTGAGCCTGTGGTTAAAATGAAGGTAGAGGGCCAAGACATACTTTTCTTGGAGGATACTGGAGCACAATATTCAGGAGTAATGAAACCAATTGCATCATTAGGGGACAAACAGATACAAGTAATCAGGCCACTGGAATTTCAGAAAAATGGCAATTTTGTCATGAAAGAATATGTAAAATTGAGGAACATAAGATAAAACATGAGTCCCTATTGAGACACTTACCAGAGTGTCCTATCCCACTGATGGGCTGAGACCTACTATCTAAACTAGGAGCTACAGTCACCTTCACATAGCAAGGAAATGTGGCCTTACCTTTAGATCCAAATAAGGCTTGTATAATGGTGGTGACTACCCATAGGGAAGATGAACGGCAGTGCTTTAGCAATGAGAAAACTCATCAAGGACCCCAAGAGTTGAGAGAACTGTTTACAAATGTGTGGGCCAAAAGTACTCCTCCAGGACTTGCTAAAAATCACCCACCTCTAAAGATAGAACTAAAAGATAACTTGGCTCCAGCAGCTATAAAACAATACCAATGTCCTAGGAATTATACCCCATATTATGTGCCTTAAAGAATTGGACTCATAAAAGAGCGTAAATCACCTTGGAACACTCCTTTGTTACCTGTTAGAAAAACAGATGGGGATTATACACTGGTGCAAGACCTTCAGGCTGTAAATGAAAGAACTGTAACCCAACATCCTGTGGCTTCAAATCCTTACACATTAATAGTTCTAATACCTCCCACTGCGGCCTGGTTTACATGCTTAGACCTAAAATATGCTTTCTTTTGTCCCCAGATTTCTCTTTTATCATAATCAATCTTTGCCTATGAATGGGAAGACCCGAATGATGGAACTAAAACCCAATTTATGTGGACTAGATTACCACAAGGATTTAAAAACTCTCCTATGCTTTTTGGGGGAGGTATTGGCAAAAGACTTGCTAGCATTCCCTGTGGAACAATATGACTGCATTTTGTTACAGTATATTGATGGCTTACGATTGTGTAGCCCATCTTAGGAACAATGCTGGCAGGGTACTAAGAGACTATTAATGCTGCTTTAAGATGCAGGGTATAGTTTCATGGAAAAAAGCTCAAATTTGTGTACAGCAAGTAAAATATTTGGGATTCCAAATTACTAAGGGAATGCCCTGCTGAGGGAATGAAAGAAACACAAAAGCAGTTGTGAGAATTCTTAGGAGCTGCCAGTTTTTGCAGAATCTGGATTCCAGGGTTTGCAGATATAGCCAAGCCCCTATACGAAGCCTTAAAAGTCCCAGAAGGACAGCAAATGTTATGGAGTGAAGAACAAGAGTCAGCATTTACAAGAGTAAAACTAACCCTCTCTGCTGCCCCAGCATTAGGATCCCAGATGTGACTCAACCTTTTACCTTGTACGTGACTGAAAGAAACCAAACTGCCTTGGGGGTGCTGACCCAAAAATTTGGCCCATGGAACCAGCCAGTCGCATATCTATCTAAAATTTTGGATCCAGTTGTCTACAAGCTCTGGCAGCTACAGTTATGCTGATTAAGGAAGCTGACAAGCTAATCTTAGGACAGGAATTGATTATTCAGGTTCCCCGTGACATCCAAGAACTATGAAATAACAGAGGACAGCAGTGGCTCTCAAATAATAAAGTCACACAATATGAGGCCCTCATCTGTGAGAATTCCCATCTACATTTTGTTCCAGTTAAAACCTTGAATCTCACTACATTTTTGCCCTTGGAACCTGGGCCTCCTGACCACGATTGTCTCAGCATCACCAATGAGCTGTTCTCATTTGCTGGATCTGCAAAAAACTGCACTGCCTGATGCTGATTTTGTCCTGTTCGCAGATGGAAGCAATTTCATGGAAAATGTGGTATGCTGTGCTGGCTATGCAGTGATGACCCAGGATGAAGTGGTCCAAGCAGGACCCCTTCCCACTGGATGGTCAGCTCAGTGAGCGAAGCTCTGGGCACTCACACAGGCTCTCCAATGGCAAAAGAAAAGAGGGTGAATGTTTATACATTCCCATTATGTGTTTGCTACCTTACACATTCATGGCATAATATATGTAGTCTTCTCACAGTGGATGGCAAACAAATTAAAAATAAATGGGAGATAATGCAGTTGTTGGAGACAGTGTGGGAACCTGAAAAAGTAGCAGTGATGCATTGCTCTGGTCACCAAAAAGGAAAAGATGCAATAGCAAAACACAATGCTAAGGCAGATATAGAAGCCAAAAAGGCAGCTAAACAGAAACTTCAGATTACTCTGTTCACCCATGCACAAAAAAGATAATTGGAGATACGAAAACCACTAGCTACTATAGAATATTCAGATAAAGAGAACGAATGGGCCAAGAAACAATTGGCTGAAAAACAAGGACTTGTTTGGATCCTACCTGACAACAGGATGATGATACCAGAGGCACTATCATACTACTGGATTAAAAGATATCATGACTTGACTCAGGGGAGAAAGATGGCTCTCCAAACACTGTTAGAGAAATATTTCTTCATACATCGGATTTCTGCTTTGTGTGAACAAGTCTCAAAAAGATGTCAGAAAGTAAATCTGACCTCAGGGCCCAGAGCACCATCAGGAATACAGTGGAAGGGCACAACCCCATCTGAAGACATATGGAAGTCTCCCCTTGCAGAGGTTATAAATATTTGCTGGTACGTGTTTGTACTTACTCTGGATGCCTGAAGCCTTCCCTACAAGGACAGAGAAGGTTTCAGAAGTATGCAAAGTTTTATTAAAGGTAATAATTCCAAGGTTTGGTCTGCCTCTCTCCATAGGCAGTGACAATGAGCCAGCATTTATAGCAGAGGTTGTACAAGTTCTAGCTAAATTATTGCATATAAAATGGTATTTACACACTGCACATCGGCCCTAGAGCTCCAGTAAGGTACAAAGGATGAATCACACTATTACAAATGTATTAACTAAATATTGTTTGACAGCATACCAGGGCCATGGGTCGATTTGCTCCCTTTAGCCCTTCTTCAGATAAGAAATACTCCAGATTACACTAGATTCTCCCCATATGGGATCTTATTTGGGAGACTGTTATGTATTTTAAGAGACTTTACTGGAAATTTATCTCAGTTAGGTTCCTCCATTCTGGAATTATAAATGTTAGAATTGGGGAAAATATTCCAAAATATACAGGGACAAATTAGAAATAAGGAGGACCTCCCTATGTTAACTCCTGCCCATTTGAAAAAACTAGGGGACCAAGTTTATGTTAAACATTGGAAGAAGACCCCTTTACAAATTATATGAGAAGGACCATATGAGGCACTTATGGTTATTCCTACTGCTGTCAAGGTGGCTGAAGTCTAACCGTGGATCCACCACTCCAGTGTGAAATTACCTTACCCAGAGGACTCCACGAACTGTGATCGCAAGAGACAGCACACTCAAAGCCACACTCTCATCACTCTGGAGGCTGACAGTCAATGCATGGCTAAAGAATGAGAACTGCAAGCAGGATATCATGGACTCTTTTATCGTGTCAGATGGTTATGGGTTATTTTGTTTTTGAATTAAGAATCTATAAGTCTAAAGATGATGGGTTTGATGAAAAATATGTAACTTTCAAAACTATTAAATGGGAACCAGAGGGATATTCCCTCACACTTTTCTTTGATGCCTGCTCTAAAGAACATTATGGAAACCCTGGTACCATACTCAACTGTGGGGGATATACACAGGAAAAGGCACAGTGTTCAGATAAAACTTGAATATGGTTCAATAGCTCTGATGTGGCCAGAGATACTGGCAATTGTGGTAACTGTAAACAGGGACAATGTAACCCCTTAAAAATATATATAGCTAGACCCTGGGATGTAAGTTGGTTACAGGGAGTGATTTTTCATGTTTATATTGGATATCAGTCATCTGCTAGACATGTACCTCAAAAATAAAAAAGGTGGATTTTGCAAATTAAAAAAGTCTGGAAAAATACTTCTTCAGAAACAGGGAAAACTCCTGTGCTTCAGGAGATACAAGGTATACATAAAGGGCATCCAAAGAATTTTCCAAGGAATAGACATGGTGGATTTAATTAATGGAACTCATTCACTGCTGCTATAAGCAGACCAGAAACTAGCCTCTGATTGCTGGATTTGTGCACCGCTCACCATGCTGACTTATCAAGCAATTGGCATCATGAGTGACCTGCCTTAGAGCCAATACTGCTTCAGTTTTCCTGAGTGCTTGGATTATAGGCATGTCCCAGTGTGCCTGGCTTCCACTGGGTTTTAATTATTATATCTTTTTGGCCTTTCCATGTGAATTTTAGAATAACCTTGTCTAGTCTATTAAAAAAAATCTTCCTGAGCTTTTTATAAATACTCAACTGTATATTAACTTGAAAGAATGGGCCTTTAAAAAACAATGTTAAGTCTTTCAATTAAGAAACTCAGAATATCTTTCCATGTATTTTTTTGTCTCTTTGATTTCTTTCATTACTGTTGTATAGTTTACAGCATATGGGTGCCATTCATGTGTCAATAAATTTACACCTAAATATTTCATTTTTTGGAGGAATTATAGTTTTAGATTTTAACTTTCAGTCTCCAGGTGCTGGTTACTAGTATATAGAAATGGAATTAATTTATGTATATTGATCTTGTATTGTGACTTGCTGAACTTGCTTATTAGTTCTAGGAATATTTTTGTAGATGTTTTTGGATTTTGTATGTAGACTTTTATGTTATCAGTAAATAAGGACAATTTCATGTCTTCTTTTTCAATCTCTACACACCTTATTTCCTTTTCTGGCCTTACTGTTGATCAGAACTTCAACACTATGTTAAATAACAGTGAGGGGAGTGGACATCCTAGTCTTGTCCCAGATCCTAAGAGGAAAATATTTTTTCCATTAAGTGTATCCCCTTAGCTATAGGTTTTTTGGGGTTTTTTTTTGCATATACTCTTCACCAAGATGAGGCAGTTCCCTTTTATTTTTAGTTTTAAGTAAAATTTTGTAATGATCCATTGTTTATTTTTTCCAAATACATTTTCTGTATCTATTGATAAGATCATGTGATTTTTTATTAGCTTGTTAACATGGAATATCACAGTAGTTTGTTTTTTAGTAGTGAAGCATCACTCTAATAAATGCTATTTGAACATAGTATATATAATTCTTTTTGTATATTGCTGAACTCTCACTAACATTGTGTTAAGAATTTTTGCATTTATACTCATGATAAGGGAATTAGTCTGTAATTTTTTTCTTTTTGTCTTTTTGCTATCTACCTGATTGTAGTATCAGGGCAACACTAGCTTTATCAAATAAATTAAGAGATGTTCCCTTCACTTCTATTTTCTGCAAAAGATTATATAGATTTGGTGTTCTTTTTAAAATGGTTGGAAGAATGCTTCAGTAAAGCAGTTTTTATTCTCTTAGTCCTCAAAGAGCACAATCTGAAAACAGAGGAAAAAAGGAAAGAAATGAATACAATTCCATGTGATAAATCTGCATACTTACTATGTTGTGACTGAGGCACTTTGAAACCTGTGAGTGTGTTCTCTTTAGTGCCAGAAGGATGAAGGTATGGTCAGGGGAAGAGAAGTTTAGTGTACACTGGAGTATTCAGAAAAGTCTTGATGCATGAGATGACACAACTCTGTGGACAATGTGAAGATGTGGTGAAATGAAAACATTAAGAACCTGTAAAATATTTTAGTAAATGGAATTGGTTGGAAATACAATGAGCACATAGAATATGCAGGACACTCAGAAAGTTCTTGTGTAGAGCTAGAAAGAAGTTTTCAAAATGGGGAGCTCTGGTTTTAGGGTATGACATTTCTGATCCATAGAATGGTAACATGAGCTCCTAAACCTTGACCTCTAATCCCTCACTCTGCAAAGCACCCAAACCCTAGAGGTCAACAAAAGCAATCAGAACACATTAAGCTCTGGACCTTCTGGGGCATGGACACAGTATAATACCCTTCAGGACTATGAAGGACCCTTGGGGAATGAATATTTGACACTTACATGGAAAGTGGTTGGGGATGAAGCATTGCTATTGCTGCATTTCTCTTACTGTTTGAAATGCTCTGACAACTGCCTAAGAGCTGTAGAGTGACACAGTACTATAATAACAGTGATTGACATCTGCAGGACTACTAGACACAGTGTCCTTGGGGCATTTTGGAGCAGTGTCCTTGGGGCATTTTGGAGCCTTTGCCATGCTCTTCTCCAGTTCTCTACCATGGCTGCCTCCCACCTTCACCCTATCCTGAGATGACACCTCAGATGTGTTTGTATCCTTACCTGGCTTGAAAGTTCTTGTTACACCAAGGGCGCATTTTGTGGCATTGCCCTTTCAGAACTTTAAAGTGGGTACACACACCAGAGGTCTGTTTTTCATTTCCTTAATTTTGTATATGATTCAGTCATTACATCACAAAACAGAGACCTAAAGATGTCAATAGAACAATGATTTAAAAGTAGATTTTAAATTTTACAATAGTGGGTTTGTTTAATATTAAGGAAGACCCAGTATTCATTATGTAATAGCAATTAGATCTTTCACTTTCTTTATTTTCAAACACAATATTTTCTAAGGAGCATAAGAATGATGTCCTCTGTCTAACCCAGGGGCACAAAAATACACAACTCCTGGGAATTTGCAGAAATGTTGTGGAGGGTGTTTGACTGACTAGCAGCTATAGGAAAGACAAGGTCGTGTTTACTTTAGTAACTACCTGCAGCAAAATAACAGCTACCATGTTACCATGTTACCAAAGTAACACTTACCATGTACCAGCCACTGATGTGTACAGCACCTTAGTGGACTTGGGGTCATTTCATTTCTGTTTCCAAGATTCTGAAGTTGAGAGCAAAAAAGGTTAGGTAACATGTTCAGCATCAATTAGCTGGTGCATATATAAGTCTAGATAAAGTTCAAATATATTTCCTTTCTGTCTTTAGTCTTGGCTACTGCCTCTGCTGCTCCTGAATGAAAGATCAAGGGATCATTCTTATTCTTTTTGGAATGCTATAACAAGATGTAGTAAATTGGGTAGTTTATAAATTCAGACATTTATTTCTTCAGTTCTGAAGGCTAGGAAGCCCAAGGTCAACACCAATCCAGTGTCTGGTGACGGTTCTTAGACAGCACCTTCTTGATGTGTTCTCACATAGTAGAGGTGATGAAGGTCTTTCTGGGGTCTTTTTAAATAAGGGCACCAATCCATTTAAAAAGGCTCTTTGCATGAATAACATCACTTCATTTCAAGAAATGAATTTTTGGGGAACAAAAACATTACATCATAGCAGAATTCAATTATTAATTTATTCTGTAAATTTTTACATATAGTCCTTTGAGCTGATTTCCTTTTCTAATCACCTTTTTAGAACTAAAAGAGTCATATCTGCTGGAAAATACAGTCTTGACTCATTAATGCATGAGATCCAAAGAGTTCATGGAACCAACTCTTCCCTTTTTGTTTGGTTTTGTTTTTCACATGTGTGAGCTACAAGCTCCTGGGTCTATGTTACAGGAGAAAGTTCTCTCTGCCTCTTGACCTTAGTTTATACTGAGAGAATCTTATGGACTATACTAATAATGGACAAAGTTTTTCCATCCTTGGCATGAGTATTGACAGAGAAAAGTATGAATAGTGTGCGTCAAGCTCTGTCATGGAGGGGAGAGCAGAGCAAAATGAAAAAGTGCAATAATACCTACAATAATTAGGACTATAGCCTTTGAAATGGATTGGGAGCATCACTGGGACCAATGAATTAATAGCAATTTCTCTTTGTAGTAGTACATAATAATTATGAAACTCAATATGCTAAGTGGAGTTGGCTTTTTTCTCCTAGTGGAATCATACTGTTGGATAATTCATTTGCTGCTGGAGCAGAATTCTCTATCCTGGATCAATTGTGTGCCTTTCTGATGACTCGTTAATAGGAAGATTTGGCACAGAATGACAGCTGATGATGGGAGGCTCAGACACACAGTAGAACTACCATTGCCTGGAGCCCCCGGAAAATTACACAATTTAAAAACTCAGAGTCTAAGAGCTAATATCTTGTCTACAAAAGAACAAAAGGTAGAGAGTTTCTTCCAAAATTGTGTAGATGCTAAATGTCAGGAATTCATAAAATGTGTATTTCTGATTGAGGCCAAAAGAATCAATATTATTTTTTTAAAAAAGGAGATTGAAGTTGGGTAGTGTCATAAAAATCTCATATGTTAGGCCATGTTTAAAAGCCTGAAGCTAAGACCTCAGACATGGCTGCAAAACCGGAGTGCTTTTGAGAGTGACTTTATCTCTCCCAACCTGAGCTTCCTTTTTTTGAAAGTGAAGTTCTCACAAAAGCAGCTTGAAACCCTCTCGTGGGCCCACCTCTGCAGTGCACAACAACAGAGTAGCACTGAAGCGGCTTGAGACCCTCTGGTAGGTCAGACCCTTTGGCCCAGCATGCCAGAGGAGCCCAGCAGTGCGGGTGCAAACAAAATGGTGTTCATGACCCCTCCAAAAGACAAAACAAAACACACAGAGAGAGAGAGAGAGAGAGAGAGAGAGAGAGAGAGAGAGAGCCTCTCTGAGGCTGCTACATGAAAATTGAAGCCCATTGGAAAAGTGAAGAAAATCTGCAATAAAGGTACACCACACCACCATATTTGGCAAGTCAGAGAGACCAGTATCCCACATCAGAACCTGCTATAACTTCTGGGGAAAGACAGCTGGAACCTGAAGTAGAACCTTGCACAGTTCAACCCAGGAGGTGGTCAGAGATCTCAACTTGGGCCTTGCAGACAGAAATCAACCTGAACTTCAGGGGATAGCTACTGGCTTGCTGAGAATAATTAGCTTAGATCTGCACACTCCTGCCCACACTGTCTATTGTGTCAACAGAGGCATACCCTGAAGGAGACTTTCTATTTCTATTTGTATTATTTATTTATTTATTTATTTATTTATTTTGGTACTAGGGATCAAACTCTGGACCTTGAACTTGCAAAACAGGCAACAGTGCCACTGAGCTAAATCCCTGGCTCTGTATTTTTTTTTATTTTCAAAGTACTATTTTTCTTTTATCTTTAATCATTTGAAGAATTTTTTATCCACCTTTTTCTTTTCTCAATTTTTTTCCTTTTTTATCTTCTTTCTCTTCTCTCTCCCTCTCTCTCTCTTGTCTTGAACTTAATTACTCTTCCTTTTTGTTCCTATTACTATCCTGATTCAAATTTATTTTTTCTTTTCCTTTTCTTCTCTTTTTCCTTCTTTCAATTGCCATTAGTTTTCAAAGAAATTGATAACAGTCTCTAGCCTCCATACTGTTGTTAGTTCGTTCTATTCTTATGCATATGTTGTTCTGTCTTCTCATCTCTTCAACAGCTTCCTGGAGCATGTGTGATTTTCCTGTGTCCTCTGACCTCACTGTTAAACTTTCTTTATCCTATCTATCTATCCCTCCCTCCCCAACTCCTTCTAAATCCCCATCCTGAAGAGTAAAGTTGCTATATTGAAGAGTTTATTCACTATAAACATATTTTGGGTGGACTTCAATTTTGATTTAATTCACACAGTTAAAGGTGATAGATTAATAACTACCACAATTTTCTAAGCTGTGCTTGATGCTATTGTGTTGCTGATTGTATTACCTGGACTAAGGTGTTGTAATTGATTTAATCAGTTTTCCTCCCTTGTAAAATGAAAATGAGATTGCATCAGAATCATTACAGACTCAAAACCTAAAGACCAGCTACATCTGGAAGATGAAAGTATTAACCCAGGAATTAAACCAAGGACAGTACCAACAGCAAAAATTGAAATGAGAAGACATCTAAACAAGGCACAAACATAGACTTCCATCTTACCAAAGGTAAACTCTGGGGGAAATTAGGTAGAAAAGTCTTACAGTCAACCATCTGGACACCCTGAACTGATAGCACAGGAAGTAAAAACAGATAAATGAAGCTCAAGAAAAATTCAAAGCCGAAATAATTTCCCAGCTAACCACAGAGATGGTGAGAAGAATGAAAGACATGATTAGAGACTCCAGAATAAAAACAGATAAAAAAAACATATGATCTCAAGCCCATGATGGAAACTATGAATGCCCAGCATAGGAAAGAAATGGAATCCATGAAACAGATTCAAACAGATATCCAGGAGATTGAAAACTCTATGCAAAGCATTTGCAGCAGAATGAACGAATGAGAAGATAGAATTTCAGATATGTAAGATAGGACTGCGGTCAGTGACCATGAAAAGAGGGATCTCTTAAAAACAGTAAGGGATAATGAGAAATCAATCCAACAACTCTTATGTGAAGAAAAGAATAATAATATAAAACTGATAGGAATCCATGAAGTAGCAGATGAAAGATATAAAAAAAAAACTATTCACAGAATTAATGACAGAAAACTTCCCAAACAGAGGGGAAGAATTTGACATACAGATAAGTGAAGCATATAGGACTCCAACTAGCCATGATAAAAAAAAAAAATCTACACCTAGACATATAATATTCAAGATCCTAGAAACCCAACAGAAGAACAAAATACTACAAGCAGTTAGAGAAAAGAAACAAATCACATGCAAAGGAAAACCCATCAGAATCACAGCAGACTTTTCAACACAAACCCTCAAGTCAAGGAGAACCTGGAGTGAGGTACTTCAAGTCTTAAAAGAAAACAACCTCCAACCTAGACTAACATATCCTGCAAAACTATCTTTCAAAGCTGGTGGGGAAATAAGATACTTCCATGACAAAGAACACCTGAGAAATTTCATGAACACAAAGCCAGCACTCCAAACACTTCTAAACAATAGCCTGGAAAAAGAAAATGAAGGCCACAACTCCATAAGGGCCAATACAGCAAATATACCAGGCAATACAAGAAATTAAAGGGAGAGAGGGAAAAATAAAAAATAAAAGAACCAACAACAGGAAAATAACATGACAATGAAAAGTGAATACATAACAGTTATTGTTATGGAAGGAATTGGCAAGTGACAATGAAGACATACAAAGAAGGCCACTACATCCTTGTAAAGGGAAAAATACAAGAGTAAGAAATGACAATCATGAATATATATGCACCCAAATGCTAATGCCCACAACTATATAAAACAAATATTAGTGGATATGAAAAATGAAATAAATAATAGAATTGTAGTGGGGGACTTCAATACTCCATTGACACAAATAGACAGATCATCTAGACAAAAACTCAACAACAAAATAACAGAACTGAATCAAGTCTTACAACAAATGGACTTAGTAGATGTCTACAGAGTGTTCCACCCCAGAAAATCAGAATATATATTCTTTTCAGCTGCACATGGGTCATTCTCCAAAATAGACAACATACTAACTTATAGAACATGCTTAAGTAAATGTAAAGGAATTGAAGTTATCCCCTGTATATTATCAGACTATAGTAAAATTAAACTGGAGATCAGTAGTCTAAGAAGCCACGAGAATTTCACAAACACATGAAAATTAAATAACACCCTGCTGAACAAGCATTGGGTCACAAAGGAAATTAAAGAAATTAGACAGTTTCTATAGTTAAATGATAATGCTAATACAACATACAGGAATCTATGGAACATAATGAAAACAGTTCTACAAGGGAAATTCATAGCAGTATATGTCCATACTAGGAAAACAGAGTGAGCTCAAATAAGCAACCTAATGCTTAACCTTAAGCCCCTAGAAAAAAAGAGTAAAAAAAAGCAAAAGCTCATATAAGGGAGGAAATTATAAAGATCAGAGCAGAAATTAATGCAATGGAGATTAAGAGAATGATAAAAAAAATCAATGAATCCAAGAGTTGGGTTTTTGAAAGAATAAATAAAATTG